TTCGTGTCGTAGTTGGTGTGCGACATGAACGACCTGCTAGGTGTCATGCCAGCCAACCCAAACTAGGCTGAAGACGATGATTTCAATGGTCGGTGATGATCTTGTGAGGACGGAAGTCCCTTTCGAGAGAAAGAAAGTATGCGTCGAAGCGGACTCGAAGCCGTGTCGGCCCTGGGGAACGAACTTTGAGGCCTGGATGTTATTGAGGTGACGCACGCAGCCAGAGCGGAAAGATGGGTTGCCAAGAGCGCTAATACGTGCTGATCCTAGCGCAAGAGCCCCTGGATGCCCAGCCCTGGAGGTACCCGGGCGCGTATCGCCGCGCGGTTTGCGGGCCAGAACGCGAACACCGTCGCCCTCATTTTCCTATCCTTCCAATTTCATCTCCCGCACGTCGAATCGCGTCGCGAGACATACCATATTCGCAGTGGACGGAACTTCTGAATCGGTCAGCAAAAGATAAAATTCCCAATGGCATCCATAGATGCAGTCGCCAATGGCCATTCTACTCTCTTCTGCCACGCCGCGTGGACAATACCTTATTTACTGGTCAAAAGCTTCTTCGCACAAAGTCATCTCCTTAGCCCATCCCTACTGTACAGATAGTTCGAGCTCAGCCGCGTGTGCAGGAACGAACATGTCAACTGCCTAACAAAGTTCGATGCCGTCCGTTCACGAACGACCAACTGGGCGTGTTGTCGCTGCGATTGGCCTAGCTCTGTTACATGAAATTGTAGCGACACGTCCATGGATAGCAGCGAGTCGCTTCTTTCGCCGATATGCATGGGGTTATAGAAGTAGCGAAGCTTTCGACAAGCAAGTAGCTTGATCTGACGCTCCAAATCGCAACACTCGGCCGGCCATGTCATTTCTCGTAGTCGCTAGCGACGCAAGCCTCTTACACTTTAAACACATGCTGTTATATACGCCACCGTTTTACACGGATGTTAGCGAGGAAATGTGTGCCTGACCAGCCAGCACGGAGGTGAGTGGTGCTAAGAGCTAACCTTGTACTTATATTCTTTCAGATACGCTCGCGAAAAAAGGTCACTCAGCCACACGAGCTTATTCTGCCAGTCGATTAGATACCTTGATAACCGCCAGGTTTAGAGGCACAAACGCTACCTTCCACCAAGATCATCGCACCTTGTCAGCCCCATCTGGTCACGCTACCTCCATGTCCATCTGCATGGCAGTGGGGGCGTGGAACCATCCCTACTACGCGAACACACAGGCAAAGAGGGTCAGATGGGCTACCGTGTGATTGGAGCTGGGCGAACCTGCTGCAATATAATTTTGCGAGAAGGTCCGATGTTGTGCTACTGTGCCACATTTGCGCATGACTTCACAGCCCCGCTATCGCGGAATGCGTCATCTGCTTCGACATCCGCCCTCTTTCTCGTCCTTTCAAGAATAGTCGAACCGTATCTTTTTTCTTCGAATCATTGGGAGTTTCAGGTTGCAATTCTCACTCATAATCATGCATCTTTGCGATGCGTGTATGGCTCTGCAACCGATTCTTCATCGGACAACATCTGACGATCAGATACCGTTTGAGTCTTACAAGGTCCATCACCAGGGGTTCTTAGAACTTGCTGCAGCAAAGATAGCCGGTTGCTATATCTGCACTAGACTGCGGCGGACTCTGAAGGAAACGATTCGCCCCGTGAAGCTTCTCGGGGTCCATCCGGCAACCTTCTACATTGCAACCACTAGCGCACCTGAAGCTGGTGATTCTTTGCAGACCACGTCAATCAGGTTCTATCGAGGAGGGCAAGAAGACGATGATCTGGCTAGGGTACCACTCGACGTCTTCCACTGTATTCCATACGCTCCGAGTACGTATGTGCTATTGGCGACGGATCGGTGCTAAGTACACCAGACATATTGAGAGAACCATTCCGCATGGCTCCTTCTAATTCGGTCTCTCCAAAGGTTCTGGGCTTGGCCAGGCAGTGGTTCAAGCATTGCAGAGAATCTCATGCGAATTGTCGCGATGATGCATCTACGATATGGTATCCGACAAGGCTGCTAGAGGTAATGCCGAACACGTCCGATCCGAGACTGATTGTTACAACAAAACACAACCTGCAAGGTGGCTACGTCACTCTGAGCCACTGCTGGGGGTCTAAACCGATTATCAAACTACTTGGCGCAAATTACGTCCAATTCCAAGAAGGAATCAATATTCTTTCACTTCCATTGACGTTTCAACATGCTATCGCCCTTTGCAGATCGTTTGGGTTGCGGTACATATGGATAGACTCGTTGTGCATAGTACGATGATCTCGCAACTCAAGCATAAGGGGCTGGTTGCTGACCCTTTCCAATTAGATACAAGATGACCATGCAGACTGGCAGACAGAATCAGTGCGAATGCACAAGGTCTATCGCAACTCCGCCTTAAACCTATCAGCATCGGGAGCTGAAGATGCGAGCGAGGGGTTCTACTTCGAACGCGACCCAGCTGAAATCGGCCCATATCCGATGTGTCCTTCCTTCGATGGTTTCGATTGGCGGCACCGGGATTGCCAAGTTTTAGGCCCAAGCTGGCATATCGTTCACGAAGACGACTTCGGTCGGGAACTTCAGAAGACAGCGGCCTTCAAGCGTGCATGGATTTTTCAAGAACGACAGCTCTCGAAACGGGTTTTGCACTTCGGCAAAGGGCAGGTATTCTGGGAATGTCGTTCTGCCAACTACTGTGAATCATTTCCTCAGGGTCTTCCACGTGGTCTCACGGGCTCTATTGGTACATTGCCCAAGTCCGTATATCAGCAGACAAGGGACTGCTCATCGATATCTTCAGTCATACACAAGCGCCTTCCGGGGCTATCGAACCTACCGGCCGCAGTACAGATGCAGATGGTGTGGCAAGCATTGGTCACCGACTATTCTAAGGCCAATCTCACATATCCGAGTGATAAGTTGATAGCCATATCTGGAATGGCGCAAGATTTGTGGACCACGTGGCGTGGAAGAGTGAACAACAGGGTAAGATATATCGCTGGACTTTGGAACAGCCATCTACCAGAAACTTTATTGTGGAGAATCAGTGAAAAAGGGCCAGGCCCACGTCCAAAACCGTATCGCGCACCGACCTGGTCATGGGCCTCTATCGACGGCGCAGTCACATGGGACGACCGGATATGGATCGATGCGTACAAGTGCGAAACTACGATACTAGACGTCGATGTAAATTATACGTGGGACGAGTGGGGTCAAGTCACGGACGGACACATCGTGGCCAGAGGCCCACTTTGCAAACTTCGATGGGATGAATGGAAAGGTTATATTCGCCTTGGTCCCGACCAGGGCGATGACACTCGATATAGCGTTATGCTTCATGACGACGAATCAAGATGGTGGCCAACTGATCCGTGGAGTGAAAGCGGACTCTTGTATGGGCTACTCATCGTTCGCTTTCACGATGTTTCACTGCGACGCCGTTGCGTACTGGTCTTGGATCTCCTTCCCGATTCGTCCAATTCTTTCCAACGTGTTGGTATAGGTAACCCGATGTTTGGCTGCGAAGTTGGAGAGTGGTTCGATGGATGCCCGGCGCAGACGGTTGTGATCAGATGAGAGGAGAGCGTCTGTGAGTGGGAATACATGATCAGCGCTTGCAAACGTAAATAGATCTCGTAGGACGTACCATAGGAATGCAATTGATGTCGCGTTGTTTGTCATTGAAGAAGCAACTCCAACATGTCTCTGGTTTCCTGCCATGATTTCTCGAGGGTTGCATCGTCTGCAATGAGCAAATGTTTTGCTTGCCGAGCCTCCAAATGGTCGTTCAGATGAGAGAGACCTTCCAGTAGAGTATCGCTTGAGGCTTTTATATGTGATTGATGCTTCTCAAAATTGTGTTTGGCTGCTTTGATCGCGTCGCTAGTCTTCTCGAAACTGTGAAACTGTTTGATACTGGAAGCGAACAGTTCCTTGCTGCGCTGTATCTCTTGTTTTATCTTGGCATCAACAATGGTATTCGATCCAGTTGGCATAATATATATAAGGCTGTTCTAGTTGGGTGCGAGCTGAATGGTTGCTGCTATGAAATTTCGTCTGATGTCGTCTCGGATAGGTCTCGTACTGAAAGACGTGCGTGGTGATAACCAGATGCTACACCCACCCTCCACTCTTATACCAGACATATTCATACAGTGATTCATACGTATAACAGTCACATACAGTGTTGTGACTGTGTGGTGGCTGCGTGGTGTTGACTCTTCGCCATGTTAGTCACATTTGACTCTTCACCGCACAGCCCACTATGTCTTTCATCCCATCTTTCACCAGATGGAAGGAAGTTGAAGAAGATGGGAGGAGGTTGACATGGTACTGTAGTATCATGTAAGGTGGTTTGGGGGACATATATCGGGTGTATATCACTTGAAATAGGGCAGTGTCGGACCGCACTTTGGAAATGGCTGGAGAGGTTTTGGGGTAGATATGGTATGTATGTCACCCAAACATCGACTAGTATCGGAACATACATTAGAATAAATCTAGATGTCTCCAAAGGATAGGTTCAAGGGGTGGTTACGGGATTTATATCCCTTGAATTCCACATGTGCGAGACGGCTACATCGACTTCTCTCACCACGGAGTTAACAGCCTCACCGGACCCAGGAGGTACTCAAGCCTTTTCATAATGTCTTGCTAATCTTGCGGACATCTATGTAGCCGTATCACCGTCTTACAAAGTCACTGAACACCACCGCATCTTACTTGAAGTTCTACACGCTCCCTCATTCCCTCTCGAATATACTTCACACCGTACATCGTATTCCCCAAAGCACTTCACAACATTACAAGGAATGAACGTGAATATGAGAAACGCTAGGGTAATCTCCGTATTAGTGTGTTTGCTAAAGACTAACCGTTCGAGGTTCACTTCTGAAGTTCGACCAACCGCGAGTAGTCTGCACCACCTCTTCCTCACACCTTACCTCTCTTCTCCCTGCACCCCGCCACGTTCGCACAAACTCGACAGCACTATGACGAACAAGCCGCAAGCGCCTCAAGCCGCACCTGTGTTCGGGTAAGCAGTTCACTCGCTGCGACTTCAGCTATCGCAGTCACTAACAGAAAGAACAGCACTGCCGCCAAAGGCGAAATCGTCACCATCTTCATCGGTCCGGAGAAGAAGCGCTACAACATTCACAAAGACGTCATCTGCCACCATTCGGAGTATTTTCGCACTGCGTACAACGGGCGCTGGAAAGAGTCGGACGAGGGCGCGACACTGGAGGATATCGAGGTCGAAGTGTTCAACATTTTCGTTCACTGGCTATACGCTCAAACGCTGCCCAACTGCCCACAACTGATCCTGCGGCTAGCAGAAGAAACTGATCCTGGCTCTGAACTGGGCTGGTCCAGATATCGCCACGCTTGGGAGCTCGTCTTGAAGTGTGGTATGTTCGGAGATCGATTCCTTACTCCAGCCTTCCATCATCTCGCACATAACACATTCGTCAATGTGCAATTTGGGGAAGGAGTGGATGGTGGAGCCAGTGGCGTTTCCTACGCGACTATCATATGGGCCTTTGACAACCTGCCGTCGGACAGCCTGATCCTCGCTATGATGGTTGACTTGCAGTGCATTGCGTGGAATGAGGAACAAGACGACGAAGAAGAAAAAAGTGACCTGTCGCAGTTGCCAAACGAGTTCCTTGTTGCCGTTATGCTGAAGCAAAACAAGATCCGGGTATGCGATGAAACGACGGAGTTGTCTGCTTGCGACTATCATCTTCACGAGTCCGAGGAAGAAAAGAAGGCTTGTCCTGCCAATGGGAAGTATTGTAAGAGCTAGGAGAAGGAGATGAATGAGCAGGAGAAATTGGGGAACATGGAGAGAACTCTGATGGCTGGGGAAAGGCCACGGGCCGGTTTGCTTCCAATGTAGAAAGAGCGACCAGATGCCCCATAGACTAGTCGCACCTTCCCGAATCAACACACTCAAATACATCTGGGCATCATCGTGCACTCACTTCGCAAAGAAAAAAAGCTCCATTCGATACTAGGGTATAAGATGAAGAAGCCAAAATACCGCAAACCCACCCACCCAGCCCAACCCATCCCCCGTACTAACGCCGTCCTCCTCATCCAAGTGTCACCAGTACCAGTAACGGTATTCCTTACTGCCGTATTAATCCGAATATCGTGACACAGCCCACCCGCCAATCCTAACCCCGTCAACGCCAATGTTGGTATCTCGGTTATCATAACTTTGTACTCGTGCGCCTGCTTCATTGGGACCGACTCAGGTCTGAGCGTTCGGTGTGGGTTTATCTTCGTGCTCTTCAACGATTGGGCTCGCGGGCGCCTCGTCCTCGTCGCTTGCTTCCCTCGCGTCTTTCCACTCTGAGCTTTTCCGGCTGATGCGGGCGGGGCCCATGGGGTTTTCGCGGGGGCTGGCGAGCGGGCTGGTGGGCGTGGCGCGCATGCTGCTGATACTATCAGTGCGGCCGTGGCCAAGGAGTCCGCTGCGCACGCTGAGTCCGTCGGCTTGCTTGGTCGCGTAGTAGCTGTTGCGCTCGCTGGGCAGGACTGGGGCTGTGACGCCAGATGCTGAGTAGACGCTCGCGCGCTCGGCGTTTACGAAGGCGCTGACGTTGCTTGGCCTGCTGGAGGGCGAGTATATGGCGTCGGGGTTCGCGGATAGTACGCTGAGGGGCAGCGATTCGCGACTGCCGCCGTAATGCGACGAAGGGGCTAGTGCGCGCATCGAGGCATTGGTATCTACGGAGTTGCGACGGCGGCGCTTCGAGGATGAGGCGAGGGTGAGGATGGACGCGTTATCGGTGAGGATGTTGTTCGCGGTGGCGCCCTGATATGAGTTGGGTTGCTGCTGCTGCGGCTGCTGCGGCGCCAGATGCGGCGGTATGGCTGACGGCGGCGGGGAGGTGGGGAACTGATGCGAGAAGTGCACGGGCGTAGTGCTTGTGGTTGTCGCATTGTTCTGGGGCTGCGCCTGGCCGAGGTTGAGAATATTTGAGGGCGCGGTCGATTGGATGGTGGTCAGAGTGGTGGTGAGGGAGTGCTCGGAGCCATGCGGGGACGAGAACGTGCTGCCGCCATTGACAAAGTTGCTGCCGCCTGTCTCTGCCTTTGACCGTGACGAGTGTACTGTCTCGGGGACTGTGGCTACCGTGGGGGCGGTGGACTTGTTGCTCTTCTCGATCGCCTGTCGCTGTCCGGCCGCGGGCTCCTCCATGGACGCATAGCTGTCGTGCGATCGTAATGTGACCGGGGTCGTGACGGACGAGTTATCGGCGGGCGGTACGTTGGTGTTGATGTATCCAGACTCAGGATAGGGGTTGTTCTTTGGGGCGCCTTTCTTGACCGTGTTGCCCTTCTTGCCTGGGGCGTCGGATGAGGAGGGCTTGAGGTTGGCCAGGCGCTTCATCCAACCCGCAAAGGGTCGCTTGCGCGCATGTCGGTCTTTGTATCGCGTTAGCATTGTGAGCATAATTTGTCGAGGGTGAGTGGGCGTGGTGTAGGGAGGATATAATTTGGGTAGTTGTCTGAGACAATGGCTGTGCAAGACTAGTTCACCGTACCATGGGGTCTCGACGCAGCTTCGGCCGTAGCCATTATGCCGGCTGCCAAATATAGAGTGCCGGTGGTGAGTGAAGGAGGTCGTTGGGCTAGTTAGGCGCGGGATGCCACGTTTAGTCTGACGATCCCACGTCGAATCTACTGGAGTAATGGGGACGCGGCTGTCTGTAGCGCGGTGTGCGTCGTGAAAGCCAGCGCAGGCGGTCGGGCGCGACTATCGAATGGCGAGACAGCAAGTCGTATCGCTGCTATCAGTAATCCGAGGCGATTGAGGCAGTCTAGGTTACGCGGTTGGGGCCGGGAGGTTGCGCTGATGGGGAAAGAGCGAGGAGCTGCTGGTCGCTCCTGCTCATATCTCCGGCTGGACCCTGACCCTTTTCCCCAGCGCACCTGCCGCCCGCCGCGCTAAGCCGCCATGTTCCCTTCACGACACACGATTGCGTATGTTCTGTAGATCTCCATGTTATCGCCCACCCAAACTCAACACTGATCACGGCGCGACCCCTTAACATGATCGAACACGGGTCACCAAACAACGAGGGCTGAGGGGGCGCCCGCCAGACCTATCACTACGTCATGACCCGAAACACGTCCATTGGCGCCAAACATACTATCCCCAATGCTCCCACGCGAACTATACTGCCCCTGCCCGCCGAGGTGATCGCCCAAATCAAGTCGTCGACGGCAATTGTCTCGCTTACGGGAGTTGTGCTGGAGCTCCTGAAGAATGCCCTGGATGCGAAAGCGACCAAGGTAGAAGCCGCGATTGACTTCGCGCGCGGCGGATGCTCGGTCGAAGATGACGGTCTCGGCGTATCTCCCCTCGAGTTTCGCGAAGAAGGAGGGCTGGGCAAGCTCTACTGTATGTGTACACGCCGGAAACCATCTAGATGGGTAATTGACGGCGACAGGCACGTCCAAGTACCATGCGACCGAATCTCTCCTTGGCCGCAATGGCACCTTCCTCGCGTCGCTCGCTGCCATGTCACTCCTTACCATCTCCTCGCACCACTACCAACACCGTTCACACAATGCGATAACGTTCCACCAATCCAAGGCCGTGGAAAGGCAACTTCCGGCGTCGGCGCATCACGAGATATCAGGCAGGCATGGCACCCGCGTCACCGTGCGGAACTTGTTCGGCAGTATGCCCGTGCGCGTGAAGCAACGGTCGATAATCTCTCAGCAAAGAGCCGAACACGACAGACTCTGGGATGGGTTGAAGAGGGACGTAACGAGTCTCTTGCTCAGTTGGCAGCGTCCGGTCGCTATTCGAATACGGGACGGTGACAACAGGGTGGTGCTCAGTCTCAGCATATCCGGCGTGGAAGCAGCGACGAAGAGAAAAGAAAGTGAGATTGCGAAGCCACGATCGGCACAGCTCTCATCACTCCTCAACGTATTGACCCAGGCCAACTACATCACCGTCGATGAGTGGGCGTCGTGGGTACCAGCGTCGGCTTCCACATCTGCCATCTCGATCAAAGGCGCTATATCACTAACTCCAGCACCCAGCAGGCATGTTCAGTCCATCTCGCTGGGCATACGACCGCTTTCTGCGGAGGCCGGCCACAATGAGCTTTTTGATGCCGTCAATCGCCTCTTCGCATCGTCCAGCTTTGGTACGATCGAAGAAGATGCCGACATTGATGAGCAAGAGAAAATTCGACGGCAGACAGACAAGCGCTTCAAACAGGATGGCTATACAAACAGACAGCTCAAAGCACGCAAAGACGTCGACAGATATCCCATGTTTCACCTTCGCATCTCGTTGAAGGAGGCTCGCAGGAGAAGCGTTTCCGAAGATCAGTTCATGGGAGATGAAGCGAACCTACAGAACGTGATGGAGGTCCTGAGTGCAATGGTAACTCAATGGTTGTCGGTTCATCACTTCAGACCCCGGCAACCTCGCAAGAAGCGCGAACGACCTGGTAGTGCTTCCAGCGCTGACGAGGACGCTACTGTCAACGCGCCATCCACGGAGAGTCCCATAACTAACATGGCTTTCCAAAGACACGACGCAAGAGTGCGCTCGGCAACGCCAACGCAAAGCTCAAATCCGTCGCAATCTCTCAAGAGGAAACGTCCTGACAAAATAGCGTCACGCGAGTTGGTCGACAGATCTCGCTCTGGGGCTTTTGCAGAGTGGTCACGCATCAAGAGTGGAAAGCCTGAATTTTTCAGCAGCACTCTGAATGTGCCGAAATATCAGACCGCATCCGATTCCTCACTTGGCGCAAACCCCGAAGCTTTCGCTCACTTTGACGTAGCGCCGCTAGCTCAAGGTGCTCTGAGCGGACAAGAACAGCGCGACGGAGTTTCGCTGTCTGCAGAGACCTTGGAAACCGATGATAAGGAGAATGACGATACCATCTTGTGGACAGATCCAACCACTAAGAAGACGCATCTACTGAACGCTAGAACAGGCTGCGTGGTACGTGACGCTCGCATACGACCGAGTACCGACTCAGCTGTACTCTCGAATTCGATATCCCAGAACACATCGAACAAGTCGATGCGATTACCGACACGGGCTACGACGGCTGTGACTGGCAAGACGCCCTGGCTTGACGATGTACTAGACACGTGGGAGAACCCAGTCTTTAAGACGAGCGAGAGGCGTATACAACAAGCTATATTGCACGCAGATGAGGCTGGCCACGGACACCATCATTCCAGACATGGCTGTTCTCGCATCGACATCGACAAGGCTTTCAACCAGACCTCCACGGGTGGCTCCAGCAGATTGTCGAGAGAAGAGTTGCAGAATGCCCAAGTCATTGCGCAGGTCGACAAGAAGTTTATCTTAATCAAGATGCAAGATTCAACACGGGTGGAAGATGCGCGCGCGGGACTCCTTGTACTAATCGATCAGCATGCGGCAGATGAGCGTGTGCAGGTTGAGTCGCTCCTTCGCCAACTTTGCAATCCGACACAAAAAGAGACAGAATACCAGTCCAAGCTCGGCTACCAGGCGCAGGTAACCTCCGTCGTTCTGGATAAGCCAAAGCAATTCGCAATCTCTCCGCAGGAACGAACACACTTCACAACGCATGCCGCGCGTTTTGCAGCATGGGGTATTCTTTATGACATCGTCCAGACGACAGTGTCTGCATCTTCTTCCAGCGCTGCCGACAAGGAGAAGTATGTTTTGTCCGTTGTTGCGCTTCCCACTGGTATATCTGAACGATGCAAAGCCGACCCCAAAGTCTTGATATCCTTTCTCCGCTCAACGGTGTGGAAGTACGCAGAAGATTCACATGTCCCTCCTCTACCCACACCATCCAGCTCATCAGCAAACGACCCCGCCGATTGGGTCAGACGTCTAGCCACCTGTCCACCTGGCCTTGTCGATCTCATTAACTCTCGCGCATGTCGCTCGGCCATTATGTTCAACGATGAGCTCAGCATCAATGACTGTAATGCTTTGGTGAGGAACCTCGCCGGTTGTGTGTTTCCGTTCATGTGTGCGCATGGCCGGCCTAGTATGGTGCCGCTTGTTGATTTGGGCGGTCTGGGCGACGTAGCTGGTGGCTTGGGTGGCCGCGACGAAGCGAAGAAAGAGGTTGGGTTTGTAGATGCTTGGAAGAAGTGGAGGAAATGAATAAAACGTATACGGCATTTTCTCACAATATGCAGGACAGCAAGTTTGACAAGGCTGAACGCCGTCAAGATGACAGGGCGTTCTACTCACCGATGAGACGATATGCTGTGACAAGTCCCGCATACAGCGCGATGATACCACTCTTAAGCAGCGAACATGCCGATTCGCCGGCCATGCTTACAATACGTCACCGTGCGTATGAGCTGGAAGCCACTTGGCCCTATCACGATGTATTAACCTCAGCCTTGTCGATGTTTTTGGTGATTGTGCGAAGATTCCGATCTGCAGTCCTTGCTCTGTTGAATGCAAGTCCTGGTGCATCTTCCACGGCCAATGAATGTGATATGGCGCACTTTCGGATTAGCCATGGCTGGCTGACCGGCTGTTGGCATGTTCAGCCTTGTCGGTCGCTAGAGATATTGATATTTTACTACACCGCTCCCGTGCTCATTGATTTGCAGTCGCTCGACATGCATTCCATAACCTCTCTTTAGTGTGCTGGAGTCCAGCAACAGAATCATGGCTGCCGATGGCGCGCGTGGAGAAGCACGCGCTGATCGTGCTCCCAACGCTCCACCCCTTGAACCTGGCATTGAGGTATGTAATTATATCTTTGCTGTGCAATAACCGAAAGCAGATACTGACATAGGAAGATGGACACTAGGAGCCCTGGTGCAGACACTACAACGACGAGACACGTACAGGATCCGGGCAATGATGCCCCGACACAGCCGCCAACGCCAACCTCTAAGGAGCTGCTGCAAGAACGTCGCACACGAGCCATCGAAACTATTTTTGGTTTGGATAAAGAAGCTATACCGTCATGGCCCGGGTTGCAGGTGGTTTGCGCACACATTGAAAGGTGCTTTGACGTGGTGCCGGGCGATAAGTTCAAGCAGCCCTGGGAAAATTCAGAAGCCAGGCCGAAAGAGTCCTATGAGATCTGGGACTGGTACCTTACCTTCTCACACAAAAGCGGCTACGAGGAATCATACCTAGACATAGAGAAATTCGCTGCTCTGTGCTGCGCCTCTCTGGTTCTGAAACCGATTCGCTTGGGTATAGAGTCTGTGGGATTTGAAAATTACGTTAGAGGATATGAGGTTCTCATCGTATACCGGGGGCTTGATGAGAAACATAATCTTTTCAACCACATCAGGAATTCATTCCAAGTCGCCAGTGTCACCGATTTTGATGACCATCCTGAGGATCAGTCACGCGATGTCGAAAGAGCTGGGATTCACGGAGGTGCAGGCATGATTTACGAAAATACCGTTAATTTCGATTCACTGTCGACAATTGGACGGCTGACAATAAGATGGGTTGACAGTATTGCCAATCACCTCGTTTTCGATCAAGAAAAACACGTCGTGTGTGTTTTCCGCTTCCCCACTTTCAGCGCTGCAATGATCAAAGGCAATTCCCTTTTCAGCGCTGGCGAGCACTGGTAAGTCTCACAAAGGCTCTATATGAGGTTGACTTGCTAACTTCGTGCAAAGGACGCAATTAGCTCTTGTACCACGGTCACGTGGATTGAATTTGGCGTTACATTTTGTGATCCACGACTACAAACGGTTACATCGTGAAGTACTCCTTACATACCGCCTCCTCTTTGGGCAAAGTCCTCGGTCTCGAAAGTTGGCGAAAGACAGCCTTGCCCGGGAGAAATCAGCCCGATTAGAGTCAGGCCAAGATGATATAGACCCTTTGCTGGATGAGCTATGTACCGTCCCATTGTCAACGTCTTGGATCACCAGGATATTATCGCCCCGCAAACAGTTACAGCTGTCCGCAAAGTTGTTCCCACCATCTTGCACCAACGGCCAGAACGACAAGTTCACAGAATCTGCTTCGTATACCGTCAAGCACGACTTCCCCGTATTTGGAGCCCGACTGCTCGCGCTGCAGGAGTACAACGAACGCCAGAAGCCAACCCGAGCGCGAGATCTATGGCGTGATCGACGTAATCCACTTCAATGGTACACCTTCTGGGCGGTGATTTGGGTGGGGAGTATTTCTATTATTCTTGGAACGTTGCAGCTTGGTGTTTCGATTGCGCAATTGTATTACGCGCCTGGGTCTTCCAAGAACTCTTGAAGCGAGGGCTCGGTTTAGCTAGGAACTACAGCTATTGGAAGTGAGCCGAAAGATGGATATCGCATTGAGCCAGTACTAGGTAGTAGCCAAAGCATGTGCAGGTCGACAGCTCGATTTTTCAGAAATTTCGCTCAGCCCAAGACCTAATGATGCCCTCATCACTCTCCTCGTACTCCCTATATTCCATCTCCCCATTCTTCTTCAGGAACGTGTTTCCCTGCACGAACTTCGCCCTCCGCTCCAGTCTCGTCGCCACAACGCCTCTCCACGCCTCATACACACCCTCTACACTGGTCAAGTTCTCATAAAACGGTCGACACGCCTCGACATTCGCTGTGCACCGCCAGATATGCAGGGCACACATCATGCGACCCAGCGCGGGTTTGCCGTGGGAGATGATTTTGGTGCTGTCGACGGTGACGTGTAGGGTGGATATGTCGGCGTCGTGGTGGACTGTGAGGACGCCGTTGCCTTCCATGAGGAGGTGTTTGAAGATGGCGAAGTAACCTTGGCTGTGCGCTTGGGTCCACTTCTTGTCATCGGGGTTGTAGTGTTCGAGCGAACGGAGACCTTCGACACCGAGGTGTAAATAGGAAAGATATATCAAGTCGTCAGCCGTCAGCGCACTATTCTCCTCGTATCCGAAAATCGCAAGTATGTCTTTGTTGTCGATGAGATACGCCGACATGAGTATAGCCCTACACTCCTCAACTGAATTGGCGATGTCTTCGAATATGCTTAAATAAGTTTCGTTAGGGCGGTACCAGGAAGCCACCGATTGGCTCGTCAAAGGGTCGATCGGCGGGTTCGTGGCGTCGAAGTTGAAAACACCGGGGCTTGTTTCGCTGAGGAGCTTTCCAGTGCCGTGGCCGAGGAGTTCGTGGATGACTGTTGCGACGAAGCGGATAGCATGAAGGTTCTGACGGTAGTGGTCACCATCTGAAGGGTGGAGGTAGATGGATGCGCCGGCGGAGTTGCGATTCGCGCTCATTCGGTTGGCGATGATGATGTTCTTTGAGCCGTGGTTTTCGCGAATATCGTTGTACTGAGCAATTGGAGGTGAGTGACTAGGTTATTGAGGTGTGGAGGGCAGTTGAGAAGACTTACGTTGGGGAGATTTGACGCTTCCCAAACATACGGGCAGCAGACTGTTAGCGCTGCGTTATCAGCGTTAGCATGCGTTTATGTGAGGAGAGCGCCGGCACTCACCATGCACTATAGCACATTGGGGTATGGTAACCACGTCCTTCTCGAATAAGCCCTTGCCCTCGTTCTCCGCCGTCGCCCAAGGTAATAAGGTACCGAACTTCGCTGCACTAGCCACGAAGACTTCCATCTTCTTTGTTTCTTCTGGATCCGCGATACACACCACGCCCTCCCATTCCGCTCGTACGCCATGGGGATCGCGATAGGTTTCAACGAAGCCGAGAATGTGTTCGATTGATGGGGATTTGTCTTTGACCCAGATCTCCTGGCCTCGTCGATATTCTCGGAGATCTCCGGTTTCGAAGCTGTACATGTGGCAATCGAGTATGTCCTTCTGGTTTTGATTCTGTGCGTATATACTGGCCCTCTGGAGGCTGTAAAACTTCGTTAGTCTTATCTCCAGGCTGAAGATCTTGATGCTGTCATCGTCGGTTGGAAGATAGCAGGATGGAGGTATACCTACTGTGCGGAGATAGTAGAGACCTCGTCCTGATGATCCCCTTTCATGCGTCTAAATCTCGGGCCACCAAGTTGTGTAGCTGTAGTAAGCTTGCCGCTGCCAGTCTGAGTCGAGGCCTGGAAAATGTCGAAGATGGCGTTCCCGTTATGGATCGTCTTTCGCACTCGCGTATTCTCTGGCTCAACGCCTTGTTCCTGCATGTATAGCTGGACTTCCTTGATCTCTGTGCGAGTAATACGGTCGCCCAGGTAGTAGCTCGACACGACAAGATCGCTTGGATATCCTGTGTTCTGCGGAGGTACTGCAGTCATACCCTCAACCAAGTTCTCAGCAGCAGATCCTGTCATACCCACGCATCCCACGATCTTCTCCAGTGACTCTTTGCGAAGATCAGGCACAAACTTCTGGCCTCCCTCACCCTGCATAGTCAGCACATAATCCTGTCTTCTGCCACAACTGCTGGCACTTACATAGAAGTTCCCGAGATTGTACAGAAATAGCCCAGCATAGCTCAAAAAGGCCTTGACTTCATCGCCGGTTACCGCGCATACTTCCTCGAACTGGCTCCACTCGCCCTCGCATGCACGATAGGCCTCTATGATGAAGTTGAAGATGGCTTCGGATTCTAAAGAGGTCTGGCGTAAGATGATGCGTGCTCCTTTCCAGGCTGCTTGCGAGAGATAGTGAGCGTAGAGCTTGTCGCGAGGTGGGAGGCTGTCGAAGAGAGGCTTGATCGCTAGACGGTGGATTGGAGAGGCCTGGTCGGGCACTCGAGCGCGATTGGAAGCCATTGCGGAATGGTATGGTGAGATCGTGAGTAAGATGCGCGCAGGTGTAGCGACTCTGATCCCGCGTCGCTGTGCGTTCGCATCGGCTGCACGTGATCGAAGCAAACGCAGCCATCGATGCATTGACCCTTGACATCAGGTTCGAGGCGGCATTCTGCGGTCGAGAAGGAATCCAGGTTCACACAATGGTCTTTCGCAGCGCACGAGAACACGTAGAGCATGGGCCAAACTACGTTGGTGTACGGTGACTCTTCGTACGACATTGGATGTTGGATGTTGGACATTGATCGATTAGTGCCATATCCTCGGTTACTGTTGGTTATGATTTTACTTGTTTCTCTTAGTCTTCTGCTCCGTTCTGGTAAGGAAATGACGCATCAGCGTTGGGTCGAGCTCGTCTTTAAATTCGCAGCTGCACCGTGAACAAGAAATGGGAAGATGGTTCAAGCGATCGAGCACAACACGTCAATATGGTGCGGTATTGGCGACACTCGAGTTACACCCAGAGACCTAGCCTAGCGTAAGAGGTTATAGAACGATCGATAGAGAACTTTCGGACGAGCGAGGTTTGAAATAGATCTGCTTCGTTGCCAGCAAGCCAGCAGCAAGCCAGCAGCGATCTTCGATGAGTCGGTGCTCCATGTGGACGCGCATACGTGCGACATCCGACCATCTTAACTAAGAGCAATTGCGATGTAGACGGATGGCTGTTTTGGGGTTCAATTCAAGCATCGATTCTTTGCGATACTATCATATAAGAAGGCGCATCGCTGGGTATGATGGAAGAGTGAGGCGTCGATGCCAGCTGGAGGAACGCGCTGAAGTTTAGCGTGGAAGATTCGCGATGAGCTAGTCCAAGTTGGGAACAGTCACGTGTTCAACATCCATCATCAATCGCGTCGACGTCGCATTGCCCTCCGTCTTCCACCTGCATGTACTCTGCTCCCCTTTGATGATAACGCAATTGTTCTATCGATGATCGCGATACGAAAGCCTCATCACGGAGGTGCCGTGCCACACGATCGCCAGACGCAGCTATTACTCCCTATGAACGGACGGCACGCTTTTGTCTATGGCGCAAACCATGACATCGCCACGGCAGGTGCAGACATCATCCAGAGAACTTGGCAAATAAGCGAATGCATCGTTCACTCAAGCATGCGCCCTTTCCTTTGCCGACGCTGACATCGCAAAGTCGAGTCAACATACGTCATTCGCGAACTTCATTAACTCGAACATCTCAACAGCCAAGCCTCCACTCCGCTGCTGAAGCTGAATTTCGTAGGTAACAATGCATGAGGCTAAGCCCGCGAAGCGAGTTCTTACTCCAACAAACGATCTGTCATAGCCGGATTGAGTAAAGATGTGCGTTGCACCCCGCGATTCGGGAGACGTTTGGCGGGGATCTATCGTTGGAGAATTGGAGGGGATGCAGCGATAAGAAGGTTGAGGATGTGTGTGCAGTGCATGGTGCTTCAGTCAGTCTGTCACGAGACAATATGTCGCTCAAAGAGAAGGACCTTGAAGCCGAGCGAAAGGAGCATGTCAGTGTCCATCCAAGCTCTCCTAAAATGATGCGCTGACGACAGAAGATCTTGTTCGACGACAAAAGCTATGGCGGTAGAGACGATCGTGTCAACGTCGAAGATGCTATAGATCCAGCGAATGACTCCTCGAGACCAGCATCGTCACCCATCGAAAGGGACGACAAGGAAACACGTCGCATCATTCGAAAGATAGATCTCAGGCTTTTACCAACGCTCGCTGTCATATATGCCTTCGCGCTCATTGACCGCGTTAATCTTCCTAATGTACGGCATACCCCCAGTCGCAGTTGTATGTCGCATACTGACTCTGTCTCCAGGCGCGTATCGCAGGTATGGATGAGGACCTGGGCCTCTCCATCGGTTCACGCTACTCGATCCTTACTATGATCTTCTTCATACCGTATATAATCTTCCAGTTTCCGGCAAACATAATCATTCGAAAACTCGGCCCTGCCGTATGGCTACCATCTTTGGTCATTTGCTGGGGCGCTGTGACAATCGGCATGGGCTTTACTAACGACTGGACGCAAGCACTAGGATGCCGAGTCATACTGGGTGTGCTCGAAGCTGGCTACTATCCTGGCTGTGTCTTTCTACTGAGCTGTTGGTATGTGAGGTTTGAAGTGCAAAAGAGATTCAGTGGGTTCTACCTACTAGCGCTCCTTGCAAGTGGTTTCTCAAACATCCTGGCTTGGGGACTGAGCGAGATGCGAGGCCTAGGAGGGCTGAACGGATGGCAATGGATCTTCGCAATCGTGAGTCAGGCCCCTGTCTATCTACCTACATCAACCACTGACATATCCTAGGAGGGTGCAATCACCGTTCTACTAGGCTTCATGGGCTACCTAACTATAATAGACTTTCCCGACAAAGCCAGCCAGCCCAGCCCGATCACGAAACGCCCTTTCTTAACCCCCGCGGAAGCCAACATAATTCTGTCCCGCATTCAACGCGACCGCGGCGATGCCGTCGCTGACAAGCTCACTTGGCCAACCATCGCCAAACATCTCCGCGACTGGAAGATCTGGGAGTTCGCATGGCTCTACTTCCTCAACAACGTCGTCGCATACAGCTGGGGATACTTCCTGCCAATCATCCTCCGCAACGACATGGGTTACTCTGTCGCCATGAGCCAGATCCTGTCTTTCCCGCCATATGTCCTGGCTGCCGCTTGGATGTTCGGTACGGCATGGGTCGCCGACAAATATAGGATGCGCGGTGCAATCATCGTATTCAACTGCGCATGGGCAGTCTTGGGAGTATGCATGATGGCTTTCCTCAGCAACGCTCGCGCACGGTATGCCGGAGTCTTTCTAGGCGTCAGTGGTGCGAACGCGAATGTGCCGAGCATATTGAGCTATATGCACAACAACATCGTGGGTCAGATGAAGAGGAGTGTTGCGAGTGCGTTGTTGATCGGAGGTGGAGCTTGCGGAGGTATCGCAGCGTCGAACATCTTCCGACAACAGGATGCGCCGAAGTACATGTAAGTTACATGCATCATGATGTATGGGAATAGGAAGCTGATTTGTACAGACCCGCCATGGCTGTTGTTATCGCTACCCAAGTCTTGAGCATATTACATGTGCTGAAAAACTTCTGGGTCTACTCACGAGCCAACCGCCAGGCTGATCGCGCAGAGAGGATTCTGGAGGGCCAAGAAGGCTTCCGACAAACGCTGTAAATTTTGGGCTGGACTACCCGCCACTATGCCAGCGTACGATGAACACTACGAATATATGCCGCTACGCTATGCTATGCCATGCTATCAAACTCATCAAATAGTACGCGACGTGACAGCTTTCCTCCGCAACGGAGATCCCAGATCCCGTATGCCAAACCGAGACTAACCCATCAATCTCCGCCGCCTCCCACTGTCAACGCTAACAGTGTTGTCTGGCCCGATGCTGATGCTCAAGCTGCTGGTATCGTCTTCGCTTGGAGCCCTCCTCCTGTCTCTGTCTCTGTCCCGCCCGCTGACAGCCTGGCTCTTACTCCTCTCGGGTTGTATGACCAGCCACGTTGAGCCGCCCCCTTCATGCTCTTGTTCCATGAGCTGCAGTTGTGGTCCTCCGCCTCTCTCATCTCCTCTTCGCATGTCCCTGTCTCCTCTTCTCACATCAGTTTCGCTTAGTCCTCGCTCGTTTCGGCCGCGCTCTCGACTGGGCTTTGCGTTCTTGGCGGGTGGCGGGGGAGGGAAGAGAGAGGGGAACTTGGCGGTTTTCAGAGGGAGTGTTGTAAGCGACGAAGGTAGCGGGAGAGATTCGATCAGCGTCAGCTTCTCGAGTGGTATGGAAGTGAGAAGAGAAGCGGGTAGGTCGACGGGCGAGCATGCGACTATTGTGTGCCGCAGGTGTGTGTTCGATGCGAAAAACGACAAGTTTTCTGTGTCATGTTAGAGACTTCGCGAACTTCCACCTCGAGCATGCGTGGATACATACCTCGCACTTTTCTTCCTGCTCCACCTTCCTTGCCGACTCCAGTGTCGATCCAGTCGAAGCTCGTTATCCTGCCGCAGAAGCCAGTCGAGAAGGCTCGTAGCTGACCCAAGTTCCGAACCTTCTCAAGTCGTACAAGGTAGTTGGCCATACCCTCCAAGTTGGCATATATGCGGACGATGATGTCGAGTGAGTCGGCATCTTCGTACAGCTCCCGCAAGTATTCCCTTATCCGTATGTTCAGTTCGTCTGCTAATGCTTCGCCGCCTTGAGCTTTTCGTGTTATGTATTTGTCTTGGAACTGGGACGGTCAGCTAAGATGCACGACTAAAAGTATACTACAATACATACCAGGAAGCCTTCGGCATCGGCATCTATGAGCACCATAACGAACGGCCGTTTGGACTGCGACTGCACTAGAGCTTCTTCTTTCGCCTTTGACTCGGACAGCTGTCCTTGCATCGTCCGCGTGACATCTGCGATTTCCGCTTGCAACGTCCGCCTGACATTTTGTTCGGAGCCGAGGTCGAGTTCACACTGTGCGAGGCGTGCTTCTGTCTTTTCGAGCTTGTCCAGGAGTTCCTACTCCATCGTCAGGCTCATCGTCCCTTCCAGGACGCTTCCAATAGCATACCTCGATAAGCTCGCACCTCTTCTCCTCCAGAATCCTAAACTGCGACAACCGATCGCGAAACGTCATCGGAGGTGGGGCAGGCGGGCCCGCAACAACTAATTCCGCCATCTTCAGAACTGGCAAACGTCACACAATCACCAAAGGGCAGGAAAATTACTAAACGACAGAAAAACCTGGGGATCCTAACATTTAAGAAGACGCGTTGTTTTGGGCTCCCGCGCAGCGCTAGCTAGTTGTTTTGCATCTGCATGGCCCAAAGTACGGTGACGCCGCCGGTGCGAAAGATGGCAGGTTCTGATTGGCTGGGCATGTGGGGGAGTTGGGCTCATACGCTGCCTTGGTGTTGGAAGTCACCGGAAGCATACAGAAGCTCGTGAGCTGGCGGGCTGTGTTCTGGTCACGGATGCATTCTTTGCGGCATCCAATATGCGGCGCGAGCCGCAATGGGTCGCGTGAGGCGGAGATGGAGGGGTGATGGGTGCTCTGGAGGAGAGGAGGGGCATGTTCTTCTCACTTTAGCCCCTCGTCTTTCGAAACGCACGTCACATTGCTTCTCTGGCTAACGATACAAAGGTATTGAGGTTTCTAGATTCATTCGTGGATGCCTCTATGGATCACAGCTTTGTTCCACACACTCAGAATATCCAACGCGTGCATAGAACCCCAACGTCCTTATGACTCATTCATCAAAGAAGCTCATCGGCTACATTACCCGGATAATGTCAGTATCTGGTATCGCAGTTGCCATCACGGCGCGACGATCGATCTTTCCTCCAGACGTGCGTGGCAGCTGCTTCCAGATCACGGCGCGGGTCGGACGCATGTAAGCGGGGAGATTGAGGCCGCGAAGCAGCTTCAATAGATATCGGCGCGATGCAGCGTTGAGTGTCCCGGTCATGACAACAGCAGCCAGGATCTGTGGTTCTTCCTGCTCTTCATTGCTGTGAAGAACCACGACTGCTTCCACCACTCTCCCTTTGGCCTGGTCAATAATTGTCCGCGAGACATCTCCTAACTCGATGTGAAAGCCGCCTACTTGCGCGGTTGACTCGTCCAAGCGTCGCGAGGTAACGAAAAGTACCCCAGTATCGTTGATGAAACCCCAGTCTCCTGTCCGAAAACACTTCACACCAGTTCCTGGATGTTCCTGGAAACGATGGTCGTCGGCCTTAGAGCCAAAGTAGCACGGCCCAACACCCGGACCAGCGACCCAGATATCACCAGTCCAAGCTACAGGAAGTGGTCTGCCCAGATGGTCGCCTACCCAGATGTGGTTGTTCGGCAACGCGGTTCCCACAGGGATGAGCTGGCCTTCTTTGTTGCCCGCGTACGCCTTGTAGTCGACAAAGCTCATGGAGGAAGCGATTGTCGTCTCAGTCGCTCCGTAAAAGCTTGCAAGCTCCAGGTTGTTGAGTTGAAGCTCAGTGAAGTTGCGAACAACGCTTGATGAGATGTTTTCTCCGCCACTCAACGCGAATTTCCAAGATTTGCAATCCTTGAGCATGTGACGAGGATGTTGGAACCAAAGTGAGTAGTCGGATGGTGTAGCAATAGTAGTGGTGATCTTCTGGTGTACCATGACTTTGGTCACATTGGCGGGAGATGAATCTGCGGCTAGGAAGAGTGTGCCTCCAGACGTTAGGGCGAACAAGATCTGAAAGAGCGACATCTCCGACGTCCAATTGCTGTGCTGCAATACGGTCGGCTTCTCGTCTTCGAAATAGTAGGCAGTGGAAGCCACAAGCACCTTCAAATTCTCGTGTGTCAAAACGACGCCTTTTGGCAGACCATCGGACGACGGAAAATGCAGTCCCACAGCAAGATCGTCTGGCAGCGGCTCCTCGATGTTGTCGAAACCTTCCGTGAAGACCATGTCGCCGCAGAAGAACACGGTACCAAGTTGGAGTTTCAGTGCGTAGTCAACTAAATCTGGTGTGCTGACGATGCAAAACATAGTGTCGGAGTTCTTAGCGATGGGAAGGTTATCGATAATGGGTGGGCGGTAGTCTATTGGAACGTAGACGCCGCCAGCGCACCATATCGCAACGATACTGCAAAGAAGATCGATGGTTGGTGGACCGAGTACGCACACAGGAGTACCACGACTGACTTCGTGCTTCTTCAGATCGGAAGACATGGCGACCGCGCGACGTACGAGGTTGACGTAGGTAATCTTTTGGTTTTGTTCGTCCCTTGCAGCGACACGATCGGGGGTCGTGGTTGCGATTTCTTGAAGCTTATCGAGGACGCTGCTGAAGGAGACTTGGTGCTCGGGTCCGGCGCCGTGCGCCATACTTTGCTCACGCTCTTCTTGGGGTATAGGGTCCATATCGATGATGCTAGTAGTCTGGCTCTGAGCTACCATTTGCGTCATTGCTTGGATGTACATCCCCGCCACCACTTCAGCATGTTCTTTGTCATACGTCTTCTCGTCAAGGCCAACGAATACGACTAGATTGCGGTCGAGGTCTTCGCGTACAATCAAGACGAGGTCTTGAGCATGCTCGAAGTACATATCGGTAGTCGGAGAAGTAGGATATCCACGAGAAATCCAGTCGAAGGTGACTTGGTGGAGCAGTGTCTGCTTCGAGATGTTCAACTCGGATAACAAGTTCTTGACTGGTACATGAAGATACCGTCTAGACACGCCCATGGTCGCCTTAGTCTGCTCTAGGAGTTCGTTGGAGGTGTGTTGCGAGTCGCCCTTGAAACGCACTGGCATAGTATCGCCCTTGCCCTTCAAAGCTCGACCCAGGCCGATCACGAAGTCGTCGGTACCGGTGAGCTGTGTGAGTAGGATCTGCAGCGCAGCTAAACCGAAGTTTACCCCTGAATGTTCGTAGTCATCGCACATGAATCGAACGCCGAAGGAGAGATTCGCTGAGATGGTTGCCTCAAAGCGATGGAAAGCCGGAACCGCATCGGGGTTGCGAAATCCTCGAGTCGTGAACGGTAACATTGGTAGAGACGTGGGTCGACCTTCCATTTGGGCTGTCCATTGCCACAGACCAGAGTCCGGTAGAGGGGTCATATGAGAGAGTGGGCTGCTTTCTAGAGTATGGGTCGCCTCGAAAGAGTCGCTAGGGGTCGCTGGAGGCGGTGCAGGCAATGAATAGCCGGGGGTGGATTGCGCTCGGCGAGATCGAGTAGGTGCAGCTTCTTCCATCGGATGTTGGGCAGGCGATGGAGATGAGAAAGGGTCTTCGTCAAAGCCTCTATCCTGCATAGTCGTGTTAGCCAAGATCTAATACTCGGGCTAGACCGCCAGGGATACTTCGTCGAGTGAATTTGGAATGCACGGTTGCCTTTTCTACCTCGATCATGGTGTTTAGGCAGCAAACTATCCTTCTTGTTTCCCTCCGTAACCCCAGTAATTGCGACAAGCATAGCGAAGCCAAAAGCGCTGACCTCTTACCCCCTTGGCGTGACTATATAACTCCCCATGCGTACGGGTCATATCCTATTACGAGACCGCGCTGATCGACAAACTCCGGTCGCAAAACACCACTCAACCAAGACCATGGGTAATCTCGACACGACCCTCACGTCCGACGGCAAGAATGCTCATGCACCCACCAAAGCACCCGCCAATGGGCTTGGAGATCTTGGCAAACTTCCGAGAGAGCTAAGAGACATGGTGTACGAAGCTGTGCTTGCGACTGCACTCAAACGAAACGTAACGATGTTCGGCAATGTTGCTGAGGACAAAGCCGAAGTCGAAGCCCAGCTCTCCAAACCTTACTTCTGCCTACCATACATTTCCCGGGTATCATCCGCGATCCGGAAAGACATTACACCAGTCGCCCTTCGTAACTCCCACATCATAGTCCGAGGCTATCGTAAAGCACATCGACTCACCGATTGTCTCTCAGCTAACGACGCCTTTGGCAGCGTGGGGTCGTTGGAATTACGAGGTATGAACAACATTAGGACGGTGCTCGGTGGCATAGACAAGTTCCCAGCACTCCAGTACCTCTATCTTGCACTTTCTATGCGTGTGTTAGCGCAAATCGAACATAGGAACGGGGTGCCGATCGCAGACTCCACGGCCAAAGTAGTGCAGAAGTACAGATTGGAGAAGCTACTTCTGTGCACTGCTCTCCGCTGTGTTACTTTAGATGAATTTGAGCCCGACGGCTGCAGACGTAAAGAGGTTGACAAGGGGATATCGCTACGCGGTCTGGGACGATGGTTAACGAACGAGTGCGAAAAGAGAAAGGTCGACATGCAACTCCGACTTGTGCTGACATGCTCTGCGGCATGTAACAAATGATTGCGGGTACATAAGACGGTCGTTAAAGAGTTCTCTGAGTGATGTTGGAAACCGAGGGAGTGGCTGGCTGATGGACGAGCCTGTGCTGCAGTTTTCTGTTAAGAAGAGGATATATCAACGACCTCAACACACGAATGAAGCAAAATCTCACCATGATAAGAAAATCGCAAGCCTTCCAGTATAACAGTAGTGTTAGACGAGCCCTATGTAAGACACGACAACTACCAATATGTGTGCATGTTGCGACTCCAGCGAACAGCTAAGGTTTCCGCGATACACGCAAGGCTGCGCGAGGAACTCTCGTGGTCTTTTAGGTATTGGTCATAACTCGGATATTACAGCATTTGTAAGATTGCATGAGGCCTCGATACCTAGATAGTATAGGCGCGGGAGTTGGTGCTGGAAAAGAGGATGGGAAGAGCGTCCAGGGGCGGCCGCATGTTTGGAAAGAGCTATGAGCGTGCCAAGCCGCTAGCGTCACGGCACGCGGCACACTTCACGTGTCTCCTCTCCTCCACCCGAGATACAACGCGTTCTTGACCCTCACCGTCGCACTCCTACGGGCTGCATTGCTACGAAGAGGAATTTTGAATCTTTGAGGTACACCAGGATATGGAAACTGTCTCCACGCGGACAGCCCGGCGTCAGCAACAACGATCTGGCGAACCAAAACGCGTCGCGTTCTCAGCCGTCGAACCTAGCGCGCCAGCATCATGACACCATGACACGCTTGCTTGTCAAACCTAAACTTTGACCTTCTCCGTCTGTTCCTCGACGATAAACTTCCACATCACCTCTGCCGCCGTTTTTGCTCCGTCCATGGAATTCAACGTCTCCGCTAGCATCCGCGCGCTAGCTGCATAAGAAGGATCCTTGAGCACCGTCAACACCGTGCTGCGAATGTTCTTGGCCTCCCAGAACTGTTTCTGCACGCGGATACCTGCTCCAGCATTCATCGCGTTGTCCAAATTCGTCTGCTGCTCCACTTGTAGCGCGACACCAACAATAGGCTTTCCTGCAGCCAAGGCGCATTGGACAGTCCCTTGACCTCCATGCGTGACGATGAGGTCGGCGAGCGCATTGGCAGCCGGTGCTGGGATGAACCGATCAGTCACCAGAAGCCGCGCATCTCCGCCAGCGATCTCGATTGCCTTGTCGATGTCGCAGATGGATTTCGAAGCTAGCACGACTGCGTTCCAGTTGTCGTCAGGGTTCAATCGTAGAGCCTTGATCGCTTCGAACAAGAACTCTTCCGTTCCAGAGCTGCCCATTGTAACTAGGATCGATGGACCCGGACCCTTTGTCAGATGCGCCGATATGTCTTCGTTCAGTTTCGAGTCGTTCCGCGCGTACAAAGGACCTGTGAGGACTATGTTCTTTGGGAGGCGGTGCAGATATTCTTGATGGAATACGGGGTGGTCGTTCACCAAGTTGAGATCGGCCATGTTCATGTCGAAGAGGGAGATGGGTCCCGTGACTGGCCACCCACAGGCAGCAGCAGCAGCTCCTAAGCGCTTCTGTCGGAAGATAGGAGCGTTCACCATCAAACCGCTGGCCCACCATGCCATGCGCTGTCGGACCGGTCGTGGAAGCCGTGTGAACAATGGCATCATATCTGGAAGATCGCGAATCAGGCCGTGAGCAAAGGCTCCAGGATGCAACGGAACCGGGAGGAAGTTGATCGTTCGGATACCTAGGAGTCGCGCAGCAATAGACGCTGGAGCCCACATGCCATGGAACACAATATCCGGCTTCAATTCTTTGAACGCTGCAAGTTGGCCATCGATGAATGACTTTGCGATTTCTTCTGAACCGAAGAACTCGGGCCAGTCCCATCCGAGGTCATGCGCCACGGAGATGCCCTTCACGCGTGGTTGAGCTGGGACAATGTTGAAGCCAGCGTCCGTGATTTGATATTCGAACCGCGCGCCACAGGACAGGAAGTCGATTCGCAGATTGATATTGGACGGGCACATGTCCCGCAACGCGATAGCCATCGCAATGGCACGTGTCGTGTCTCCAGCGTCTTGCCATGCTACGCTGAGCACGATGTGAACGTGTTGGGAAGCCATAGTGCCAGATGTTGCACCACTTATCGCAGAAGAGAAAAATTGAACAGTAACGACGATTAGCCTTCCAGTACTGACTGGGTTTCAAGGTGTCCTGGTGTATCGACTCTTATACAAAACACTATGGACGTCGCCATGCAGATATGCACCAGTCTCTAAATGCGGCGTCGATCATATTCGTCTCTCCTCTATGATCTCCGAAACAACAGGTCCGACATGAGCCGCATTGTACAGCTGCGGCTCATTCTCACCATGCCAGAGCTTATCAGCGTCAGCTCACCATCTGTGTGGAAGCTCGTAACTGCTATACGATGGCCAGCCCAACGCTGAGCATTACTTGAGACCGACCCAGCTACGTGGTATGGCCATGCTACGACGCCCGACAGCTGTGGGGAACCGTGGGAAGTGCGATCCGGTATCGACATTACATTCGGTCCTTTGTGAGATCGGATCACTAATTGCGTTGGAGCATCTGACGTGTAGTACGGCCACCTTCGCGCCAGCTGTGAGTGGAATACGTGGGCTGACGAACCGTGCGCGGCGGGATGAAACGTCTGGCACCGCCATTGGCATCTAATGCGCGTCGCTAGTCTTGTTGCTGGTTCTTACAGATTGCACAGCAGACTGCCTGCCTGAGTACGACCTTGTGGTGGTTGTCAGCAAGCTTTAGGTTTACGAACAACCAATGGCGTATACGCAATCTCGGAGCTGGCCCGGATGACGCACCTATCCGACCCCCAAAACCACCGAAGTGTGGTTTCACCGCGAGAAACGTGGCTTCAAGGCGATAATCACGCCCGTGTTGGCGGAGCAGATGCACGTTGGAGCCTGATAGCAACACCGACCCCCAACCGTCTATCATCTCAATCAAGCAGAAATGATATCGCAAAAGTGGGGCTCAAGCATACATATGGTTAATAAAGCTTCGCTAGATCTCGGCTTTGCTTGATTGCTCGTCCTGGGCGTGGGATGATCAGCGACATGGCTTGGTGGCTTCGCTTACGCACTACCTGTTCGGTGAGCTGCGAATCGGAAAGGCCCCGAAGTCTGCTACCTTGCGAAAATCAAGGAACGCCTTGTAAGCTTGCACATTTTCGCCCCTCACAACACGTGGGACGCTTAGAAACAGCGCGAAAGACGACAAGCTTCAAGCAGACAACGATGGGAAGTGAGAACTAATGGCTAATACATTATGCATTAATGGCAGAGATACGATGCGATATGGTATCTGCCCTATCATCATTACACGCTAAAGGACCTCGCATTCATCCATAGATCTAATTCCGGGAAAGAAGAGCCAGCTTCGTCACCTGCGAACTTGCTTCCCCGGGCCCAGTTGATCACGGAGGTCGGGGTTAATGGTGGCTGTCAAATACGACGCAAACTGACCACTTTGACGGAACATCTTCTTCAGAGCTGGCGCGGGCTCCGTCACCGCCGGCTGGTTCGCTTCTTGCCGACCCACACCAGCGCCTGGAGCTTTCAGGATACCACGGGGCTGCTGTGGCTTTTGATCCCGCTTCTCATCGTGTCGCTGTACGGACGTGTCTGGTTTTGCTTTGACGCTTCGCCACTCCATGCCTACAGCAGCTGGTATCGCAAGGCAGGCTATGACGAGTGCCGCAAAGAACGTCCCATGTGCCAGCGAGTCGTTGTAGGCTGCCAGTATCAGGGCCTTGATGGCTGGAGTGACACCAACTGTCAGGTTGGTGGCCCCTGCGTCTAGGATCTTTTGAGGGTCCAGACCTCCGATTTGCTCTAGACCAGACGAGAACTTGTGTATGTACAAATTCTGGCCGACGGCTGTGAAGACTGCGCCACCGAGTGTTTGGAACAGCGAAAGCACTGCCGTGCCGGTTGGAACATCCTCCTTGGGCAGTATGGTTTGCACGGCTATGTTGGGATGTTGCATGGTACAGCCAACGCCAAAGCCCACAACGATCTGCGTTCCAATCCACATGGCGTTATCGGTGGTCATCTCCCAAGTGGTAATGAGACCAGCTCCGATAGCCATCAAGCCTGAGCCAAGGATCATGAACGGGGTGTAGTATCCGATGCGCTGTACCAGAGCTCCAGACAAGATCGAGCCGAAGACAACCGAAAGAACGAGCGGGATGGTGTTGATGCCGGACTGCATCGCAGATGCACCTTTGATGGCCTGGAACCAGAGGGGAACGTAGATGGAGACTGTGAGCATGGTCGCGCCTACACAGAACTGGGATGCGCTACCGAATGTTACGCTCCGCTGGAAGATAATGCGTGCTGGTAGAGTCGCAGTGGTATGCCTGGTGACGTATTGCCACAGCACGAACGCTATCAGTAGCATTGCGAAGGCGACAAGAAGTATGATCATCCGCGGCGAGGTCCAAGGGTAGTCGGCGGCGCCCCACTCTAGCGCTAGCAAGAGACAGGTGATTGATGGAAGGAACAATGCGGTGCCCAAGGGATCAAGTTGTCGTATCGTCTCTCCCCACGTCTTAAGTTGCGGCTTCTTCTCATCCAACTTAAGCAGCAAGCACACTACAAGGAGAGTAAAACCACCGAGCGGGAGGTTGATGTAGAAGCACCATCTGGTCAATGTCAGTATGCATTTCACATGTGAGTTGTTAACGATGTTACTGACCTCCAGGTTGCGCTGCTGCTAGTGAACGCACCGCCTAGCAAAGGACCGGCCACACTTGCGACACCAAAGCATGCGCCGAAAAGACCCTGCAGCATGGGTCGCTTAGCTAGCGGCACAGTGTTGAACATGATCAGAATCGCGCCGGTGAAGATACCGCTACTACCCAGGCCCGCGACCGCGCGCCCAACGATGAGCATATTGCTGTTCCGCGCAGCGCCGCAGATGATACTTCCGAGTTCGAATAAGAAGATGCCGGATAAGAAGACTGGTTTGGTTGGAAAGAAGGTGTATATGCGACCATATAAAAGGATGAAGCCGGCTGCTGTAAGCATGTATGCGCTACCGTACCATCCGATGTCGCCAATGCTGCTGAACTCGTTCGTGATGGCGGGGATCGCTGGGCCGATGATGGTTCGGTCAAGAGCGACAAGGAAGATGGAGATGTACAACGAGAGCATTATGATCGCTGTCTTCGCAGTGGATGGGTATGGAGATGGTGCCTTTGGCGCTCCTCTTTGTCGTTCGATGTCGTAAACGGTCGGTTCCTCATCAAAAGGTTCGTCGCTCATCGAATGCGCATCCCGGAGATTACTCCTGCGGTAGTTTCGGTCTGGGTATTTGCCCATTGCAGGACTGAGAGGCCCGTCCATGATACTCTCGTCGTCGAATTTGAAGCTGGTGGGACTGGAGTAATTTGTATCGTCGTATGGGTCCATTATGACTGGTACGTGATCGCCATCCTCGGATGTTGAAACCCGTCTTATTGTGTTCCGGCGGAAAGCTGGGTTGGCTGCATTAGCCTCGTTGGCTTCATTCAGCCGCAATATCCCTTCTAGTGCCATTAGAGTGCTTGCCCGCAGGTAAGGTCGGATTTCTTGTAGATCTTCTCGTAGGTTGTTGGTTGTGTAGGAGGTAGCGCAATCCCGCCTCTGCGAGTATGGTTGTGACTGGGCGAGATCTTGGGCGAGGTCTTGTCCTTGTGCGTTGTAAGAGATATATGAGGCTGTGCCTAACCGTGCTTGGTCGGTTGCTCGGTCGAATGCAGTCTCGCAGTTGTCAGCCAGATCTTGAAGGATGTCAGAGATCAAGCTGCGCTCTTCGGAGTTGGTGCGAGCGTGCCATCTGAGCTCGTGTGTAGATTGTGTAGCTTGTGTAGACGGGCGTGATGATATAGATCCAATGATGGAGAGGGCGGCGGGGCGTGCCCCTCGGTACTTCGATATAGACGGAGGAGGCGCCGCCATGATGTTCCCAGTCTCGACAGTAAGCCTTAGGTATCAATCCGGATATATTGGGTGCGTGCGCTGAAGCCCGATTTGTTGCTTGCAGCCGAACGTACGAGAGGTCCAAAGAAACGAGACGGTAACAATATGCAGAGATATACGGACATGAGCTATAGGGGTGAAGAGTAATATAGTCATAGACAGACGACGATTCTTTGCATGAACGTCGCATGAACAGTCCAAACAAGAAGCACATCTCAGTAACACATCTAACAGACCAAGAAATATTCCGCAGTCGCATCCGCAGCACGACCATGAGGCGCAACGGTGCAGTCAGACGGCGATTACCTCTGGCGAATGCGACATGCTTCTCGCACACCACCCACAGCCGTCAAAAGCATCGGCGCGCCAGCTTCAAAACCACCGATGTTCCACAACTTGGCTTTACGCCACAGAGCTTTTCGTGCGCGTCCGATGGCGTCTATTAATATGAACCGGGTAGACCCTGAGCTGTCAGAGGTGGGTAGCTTCATTATGCTGCATGCGCGCACTGCAGCGACTCTCGTGTTGTGTGCAAGGTTATGCAGAGTCAGCGATCAGAGAGGTCGGTGATTACGCTGGGGAGCCGAGCGGCGCTGCGAGATCATTAAGTTCTGCCGAGACACATCAGGCAACATGTCAGAGGGCTGTGAGGATTTCTTTCCAAAGTGAACATGATGCAGATGATGGAGCATGACGCGGAGTGACGTCTCAGCTGCTCAGAAAAGCTGGTGGAGGATGTTGGCGATGAGAAGAGGACGGAAAAGCAAGTGGGCCTTGGTTCTAGCGTGACGCGAATGCTGACGTGCTCAGAATTACGCATCATGTGAATGGCATGTCTTCGCCTCGCCACTTGCTTGTCCCGTCACAACAAACCCATTATGCATTCGTTGTAGGAGGCCCTCGACTGCAAGTACAAAGTCGATGCGATTCGCATCTGCATCCTGCCATATTCAAGACAACATGATAGCATCCCAATGTCAGTCGCCGGTCCAATATCGCAGCTCAACACATCGTCATGACTGCTCATCCCATCTCGACCCCGCGCGACCTCCACACACCCTAGTCAGCCTTGCGCAACAGCAGAGCCCCTACTCTGAAGATGAAGGCGTTCAGGATGCGACACCTCAATGCGGGTGATCGCCATGATCTTCTCAGGGGGCCCACTCGAGGCAAGCAAGCCCTTCCCGCGGCGGATAGCATGCATAGCCATCTTGGAATGCAGGTACGGTTTCAGAGGCTTCTAGCTTCGCTGGTCTTTTGTCAGTTTGCGGGGTGCATTGTTGTTCAACAGGGGAAGAGTGGAGGCGACCGCAAAAGCAAATGGCGCCCCTGAACCAAGAATGGCAGGACGGGTCTGCAAAAGCAAAGTCGCACACTATGCAAGCATAACCCTGAACAGGTCTGGGGCCTACATCAGCATGGAAACATGCAAAGTAGGTGATACAATGTCGATGTAGGCTCCAGGCCTGTTCGGATTGTTCATACGCTGATGTGGTCGGGACGGCAAAGCTATGTCGCAACACGACCGCAAGCCTTCATGTCGCGGCATGATGCTGGCGGTCGAAAGAGGGGTGGAGTTCAACCGTTGCTCGTTTGGGTGCAAGAGGTACGTCACAGTCAGCGGGCCGCGGGTCATGACTTAGAACCTGTGGTGGAGACGGCGGATCAGATACCAGAGCCTAGAGATCGACCCAACATGCGACAGGAAAGAAGACATTGCGAACTACGTCAACATTGCTTCCACATTCGCCTGTGTCGATGTGTCGATGTGCCGATACTAGTACTCTTGTTCCTCCTTGAGATGGTCTTTGGCTAACATAAAGTAATAGTAATTGATCTTTGTTAAGGCGGGTACTTCAATCTGTGCAGTGTAGTTGGCGTATCAGTATGAGATCAAAAAGCTTGACCAGTGTTTTTGGGTCGGCGATTGTAGTTGATGTCAACGTAGCCTTGAGGGTGAGATAGAACATCCGCCCTCGTGCAGCCTACATCAAGATGAAAACAGACAAAGCTAGCATCCTGGCGTTAGCGTAGGCTCCAGGGTATTCAGGGTTTTCCTTGGATGAGGTGCCACCACAAGGTACGCGAAGTGGATCACGCATAGAAGGCAAAGCTGGTTTCGAATGAGCGTGGGGTATATTGACTACAAGTGACAAGAGTTACGTGATGCATGCAAGATTCGCTGGACGAGTCTGCTAAAGCAAATGTGGAACGGGCTGCCCATATCATACAAGAAAAGCCTAAGCAGGTTTGCAGACTACGTCAAGACAAAAACGTGCAAAGTGGTTGACCCAACGTTGACGTAGGCTCCAGGGTGTTCAGGTTTTCCTAGGATGAGGTGCTACCACGAGGTAGGCGAAATGGATCAAGCATGCAAGACAAAGCAGGTTTTTAATGAGCGTGGGTTATATTGACTACAAATAACAAGAACTATTCAATGAATGGAAGTGAAACGAAATCCAAGGATGTGGAGACCAGATCAAGTACAGAATAAATGCCAGATGGACCGAACAGTCTCGTCGCTGCTCTCTTATCACACCAAGAGAGCCTCCCCAACGAAGATGTTACAAACGATGTTACCGAACGGATAAACCCGTGGATCAGTAAGGATAAGCCATATCCCACTTGATTTTCAACTCTTCCCACGTGTCCTGGACAGTCTCAAGGCAGGCAATAAGCGGCACGTTGCACATTGCCACTGTACCGCGAAGCTCAAAAGTCTCTTTGTTCATGTTGGAGTCAGGCCAGACTGGATCTTGGTTGTTGGAAGCTATTCGGTTACACTTGATCATACCACGTTCGACGGATGTGGTCCTCATAACAGGCGAGGGATCGTTGAGGTGTGCTGGCCATCCCGGAATGAATTGTGCCTGGGCCTCCAAAGCGTCGTTGTTGCATTTAATGAGTGCTTGGTTGCATTGGAAATATCTGACGTTGGTAATGATAGTTCCGCTAATGGAGGACTGGCCAGAGATTTTGGCAGGGTCAGAGCCGTACCGGCTGATGCAACCCTTCAAGTCCTCATTGAGGATGAACTCGCTGTACTTCTGGGAAGGGTGGCGGTCCTTTTCAGTGGCTTTGAAATCGGCATCGGCGTACATGGCATCGGCGTACATGGCATCCATGGCATTGTCCTCGGCATCTTGACTATCTTGACGGACGGTCTTCTCAGGAGCGGAAGGGGCGACAGGGATAGGCAAGTCAGACGTAACGACGACAGGTCGCTGAAGCAGTAAAGTTAGATGATGAACACAGAGTAGTAGGCATTCAATACAAACCTCGGGTGAGCCGGAGGGGACACGAGGAATCAGGGCAGCGGTAGCCACAAGGCTACCGAAGGCCACCGTCAAATACGCGGACAGAATCATCGTAACGCACGGGCGAGTGATAGTACCGAGACCTGACTGCCGATGCTGAATATTTTGGATGGTGCTGAGATGGTGAAGACAGAGGAAAGTGTTCAGGGATTGAAAATGGTTGAGATGGTGGAGTAGGTAGATGATCGAATCAGAAGTGTGTGTTGTGGAAATCACTCATCGTCCAGCCAGGTTTGTCTTATATAGCGGTTGGTGCCCACACGCAATCCGGGGATTCCGAGACCCTTCAAACACGAATTTGGACCCGATTGACATGTACTGGTCATTTCTGTAAGGGTTCATTTGACCTGCGCAGTCAGACCCACTAATAATGATCGCCTTGAGCGCGCCTGTCAGCCACTGAGGTCAAGCACAAGGCCCAGCGATCTTGGTCATTAGCCAGACCTCGCTAACCCCGAAAGTTGCAGCGGTAATAAACCACGGACGGAAGGAAGTGTTTTCTTGAACCCCGGACACTATTCAGGGCTCTCTTCTATCGCACTTAGATCATGGCACGACCTCAACGGAACTGCTTCGGATGAGGGGGTAGACTCTGGAAGACGAGAATCAGTGTAATCACGAAAACCTGGGGGTCCGCCTCAGCCAAATGAACGGAGAGGATATCACAGCCACTTTAGTCTTAGAATCAACCAAAATATCTATGCAGGTTGATTCAGGACTTCATCCTACATCGTTGACAATATTGGAGATGCGGCCTTTCTTCAGGCCGGTCAAGCTGCCAGAAGATGACCTTGGAGCAGTCTCAAGTAGCTACATACCATATTGCCAATGAAGGCTCAGGTCGCGCGGTTGACGATTTCGATGCTGTAACTGTGCTGATTTGAACTTGTAAGGCTATGTACACGATGATGCATTAGAAGTCCGAGGGGCAGAGTTTCCATGTCACTGTTCCCTCATGATAAGAAATGTCCTAGAGCGTGCGCAGATGGTTGGTTCATAAGCTTGCACGGTTCGCAATGAACCTGCAATGACCACCGGACGGAGAGCATGGGGATGCGATGATGCATTGTAGCGATCTCAAGCTGCGGGGCATACTCGTCGTCTCTTGGTAAGACAACTGTTTAAACTATCGACAGGTATATTGATACACGCTACTCTGTTCAGAGTGACGGCTAGATCGAAAAGGGTCCTTGAGCTGTTGAGGCATTGAGCATTGTTGCCGTTGCCAAACAAGTCTGTGAGAGGGCCGAGAACAACAGACACTTGAACGAGGTGCGGGGATGGTGGACCATTGGTTATTGATCTTCTTGATGATCGTTGTTTGGAGTGTTGAGATACCGTGGTCCAAACGATCTCACATGGCGTTGATATTCAACGATACTGAGCAGATGTCTTTAATCATATCCTCCAACACGACGAAAAGAAGCCACATCAATTTTACTTTGCCAAAAATCACCAGATACCATTCCGACCACCCACAGTGCTCATGCTACGCTTGCTGTCCAATTAACAAATCGTCACCATGCGATTTTCCGCGTGGTTACTCACCACCTTCCATGTCTTCGATGTTGTCAAGGGCTCTGCAAGCGTTGCGTGGTCAAATACGACTTCAGGAAACGGAACCCTGTCAGTCTGGAGCTATGCCGAAAATGACTGTAAGGCGAGTCCTTATTGTGATGACACCGGGGTTACTGGCGACTACGATTGGGACAACGACTGCCCAGACCTTCCCAGGATCAACTATAAACTATGGTTCAACAACCGAGCCGAAGACACAGCATTCTTGAGGGAGAATCTCAGGCATTACGAACAACTCAAGATGAACCCATGGAAAACTCCAAGCGACGAACTCACCTTTCCTGCCTACATGGCGAAGCGATACGCTCCCAACGTACCACCCAGTAGTATGCTCTGTGATGGCTTGGGAATGTGCAGAGTGAGTATTTCATTCCAACTTCGAATTCTGCTATTATTAACACCATAAATAGGCTCCAAGCTGTAAAGACATTGGGGAAAAGCTCCGGCCTGGAGAAAAGCGCGCAGCCATGTTGTTCTTCGAATTCGTATCCGGTCTCGACCACTCGTTCCACATTACCAGCGAAGCTCTCCAGGACCATTGGCGGCATATTCTCGAAGACATCGATCAACTCACCCGGAGGTTCACGTATGCGGACGAACAACAAGAAGCGGCTATCAAGAAGGATGAGAAGAAGAAGAAGGCACTAGCTGCTATGGAGTTGGCGTTCGGAATCATCACGGCAGTCTTTCAACTATTCACCACAGCCGCCAACATCTTCAACTTCAGACCGGAGATCATCAACAAATACATCAACGAAATTTCTATGTTCAAGAAGTTGGGTACGAAGTGGCAGCGAACTCTGTCATGGGCGAGCAAGAGCAAGATTCCAGGTAGCTCATTAGCCAAGAAGCTGCATTCCAGGAGAGTTCCGGAGGGGGAGAACGGCGGTCCACCCCCGGATCCGTCAGGTTTCCTCAGGGATAAGTCGATCGAGAACATGCAGAGTAAGTTCTGGCCTTCGACATGAAAGAGTGATCTAATATCAAGTAGAGCTGTGGACCATCACTAGCGGAGGCTATCTCGGGGTGCAGGGGTTGACCAAAGAAGTAGTCAAGAAGATTGACCACAAGAAGGATTTGTAAGTTGCGCGTACTGTACATTCGACAGCAGAGGTCCTAACAGAAAGCAGGAAAGGATTTGACAAGACTCTGGAAGCGGTGCGTGCAGAGCTAGCCGAACTCGATACCAATGATATCGACGAAGCCAGAGCCGGAATGCCAATCCTTGCGTTGGGCGGCAGAAGTCGCGATGGCCACAACATTGTCGACCTCTATGACAAGGACTTCTTTTACGGCGCCAACGTCGACTTTCGAGCTTATGTCGACTTCGTGGTCGGCATGAGGACTTATGCGACTATCATGAGCGCCTTGTGGAAAACGGAAGGCGTCTACGTCGTCGAGACCTGGACTAAACAAGGCGGCGACTGCGACCAAGACAACCGTGGACCAGCCGAGAACAAGATCTGTCTTCCGGAACGCCCTGATATATCGTACTGGGTGTACGCAATGACAAATTACAAAGACAAGAAGAATCGTAGTCCACCCGGATGGGAGTACCTCACCAGTGAAGAGGGTTTCCACGGCCTCTTCGCTAGTGACGTGGTCCGAGCTGCTCTTTGGCGAGAAGAGGTCTATTGGCCTGAACGCGAGAAGGAGGAACGTGAATGGAATTCCACAGCTTCAGGCACCTGCCCATCGAACAACAACGATCTGCTGCAGGATACGCCGGCCCTGGAGCCGGTGAATCTGGATGGCAAGGGACGTCCGGACACCAACGTCACGCACTCATCGGGCTCGAACTCCACTTTACCCCCGGGCGCTAGAAAGCGTCTGGACGACTATGGCAACGCCCCCAACGCCTTCGACATCGCGGTATGTCGCAGCTGGATGGGTGAAGCTATCTCCAGCACGAAGAGCACGGACCACAACAATGCGCCCTGCCTATGCGATCCCATCAATCCCATCTACGCAGCCTCATGGGAAGCGCCCACGAACTGGACCATGGCAGCAACCAAGAAGTTCATCAAAGACAGCGGCTTGTACAACTTCGACAGCTTCGGAAAGAAGTGCCACGACTGTGACAGGATGGATGTAAGTTGGAAGGCACTGTTAGAACTCGACGACGAGGAAGAGCCAGCGAAGCATATGAAGAAGGCTTGGCTTCACGACTGCGACCCAAATCATCATAAAGAACATGACCTGGGACCACCGCAGCTTACCAATCCCAACTCGACAAGCTCATCATCCGTACCACCAGGTTGCGACCCAACGCAAGCGCCAACACCAACTCGAGAGCCCATCATGCAAGTCACCACGCAACTCCTGCACGAGGAAACGCGATACCCGAAGAACACGCCCAAGAACATAACATCGCAAGGCGCATGCAATGGGCCGTACTGCATCGTGGACGTCGTTTACGAGATCCGGGAGTCACACTTCAACTACACTGTCGACTCCTCGGTCCAAAACGGCGAATACGGTTGCTATCCTGGCAACGACAAGTGCATTGAACAATCCGCGCACGATCTTTGCGACTTCCGCGATGACGATGACGACAGTGAAGAGGCCAAGGCGAAGGAAGACGCAGAATGGGACCGTGAAGAGGTCGGTCCAGATGACGACGAGTACGAGGACTTCATCCAGGAGAACCCCAAAGGCAACGGCACGACCCCAGGCAACGACAAGACCCAAAACGACGGCACACCTCCCGGCGACAACGGCGCTCCAAACAACGGCACCTCCCCCGACAGCCAAGACAAGAAGAAGCCCGACAACGAAGCCATGAAAGCCTTCAAAGCATGGCTCAAGATGCACGAAAAACGACAATCATGTGTGTGCGGCGGAAATGGCAAGAACGGCCAACACGGCATCCATTGCTTCCCAGGACCAGTCGCCACGAGAACCACTACGATCAAGGGTCGCATGAGCCAGACAGCCAATCCCCTGAGTCCTTTGGCAGGTACCCCGACCGGAGGTGGAGGTGGAGGTGCGGCTGCAAGTGGGACTGGCAATGTTGTGTACAATACCTTCACCGATGATGTGTGGGTCGACGCGCGAGAAATAACCGTTGAGATGCCGAGTCTGGGAACGCCTACGGAGACAGCGGTGTTCTTTACGGGTAGCTACGCATCGATCGCTACGTATGCGGCTGCGGGGATGGACTGAGATCTTTCGGGTGCGGCGGGTGGAGCTCGGGGTTAAGGGCTGCTGAACAGACCGGGAGTCTACATCGACGTTGGGTTGCCTACTTTGCGTGTTTCCATGTTGATGTAGGCTGTAGACCTGTTCAACGTTCTCCTATGTTGACGTGGGCAGAGATTTTGATTGCGACTTTGTTTCTTTGTTTGTACTCTACAGCTCTCTGTTAATGGGGAGAGCTTGGGTACACTGCTTTTCGCGCGGGTAGGAGTCTGGGATTGGGCCGGAGTACTGGAGTGGGATGGAGTGTGGCGCGTCTTTGTCGACTTACTCTT